GTTTGAGAAAAAAATTTTTTTTTTTTTTTCTTTTTCCCCCCTTTTATAGTAAATTAGAAATTTCATTAAAAACTTGAATTTTATTATTTTTATTTATATTTTCTCTTTGTTTTCTTCTTTTCCAGCATCTGTTCATTTTATTTAAATTTTTTTTCCAGTCTCTAAGAAATTTTTTCGAGGCTTGAATCACTCGCCATTCGTAAACCATTAAATGTGTTTGATTATCCGGAAGTTGAAAATTAGGCATTTCCTTTAATATATTATTATTATTATCACTATCTGTTTCTGATTTTAAAGTCAGTCTTTTCTTTGGAATGGCAGTTTCTATTTCTACATTTAACTAAAATTTAAACAAAATAATAATGATAAATTAATATATTTTTTCAGCGTTTTTTAATTTTCCTTTTAAAAAAAAAATAATAATGATAATAATAATGATAATTACGGTTTTAATATCGATATTAAATTCTTGTAATATTTTCATTCTATTTTTATTATGATAATTTGACCATTTTTCTATATTTATTAAAGCTTGAAAACTTTTATCTATTTTTTGAACACCACCATGAAATATCGACAAAAGATCTGAAATCTTAATTTAATATCATTTATTAATAATAATAATAATAAAGGGAATTTAAAAATAATAATAATAATTAAAACAATTACAATTCTTTTGATTCCTTTTTTCCTTTTTAAACACGAATTAATACGTTTTATTCTTTGGTTTTCTGGAATGAGATTTTTAAATTTTTCACAACGGCTCAAACCGCATCCGACAACCTGGAGAAAAACATAAAAAAAAAAAAATTAAAATAATGATAATAATAAGAATTTTTTTTTTTTGCATTGTGGGAGGGAATAATTATTACAATTGACTAACTATACCTTTAGTCATACTAATCTCGATTTAATATTAGTTAATTCGGTGGAAAAAAAAGGAACCTAAATTTATGTATATGAACCACGCATATAAAAACACACAGACTTACCCCCATATATAGATGTTCGAGGTAACGTTTTTTCACCTGATATTTATCTATGACGTTATTTAATTTAATTATAACAGGATCTAAATATGATTTGTGACGTAATCCTTTAGGTTTTTTTATTAAATTAAATAAATTTTCGTCATTGTTTGATATTTTCTTCTTCAATATAAACGACGATGGTAAAATTGATTTTTCTATGTTGTCAGTCAAATCATCGTCTGCCAAACTTGAATTTAATATTAAAGCAATTCCCATGATTACGATAAATAATTTCAAATCTGCAAAATAAAAAATTATTAATCGAAATGAATGATTTTTATTTAAAAAAAACCACATGAAAGAGGATATTTTTACGCCTACAAAATTTTTATTAATGGCGTGGGTAGGTAAGAAGAAAGCAGTTTAATTAACAACCGATTAGGTAAATTTACTAAATTTTCTCTCTTTTTTTTTTAATACCATAAAATATTAATAAATAAAACTATTATTATTATTATTATTAAAATTTGTCTCAGGATCTCTCCAGTATCGTGTGTGTGCGTGTTGGTTCAGAAATCGGTAAAAAAATTTAACCAAAGACCAATCATTAGACACTCATTGGTGACCCCTCCCCTCACATTTCCTTCCTTCCTTTCCTCTTCACATAAATATAGCCTTGAGCATTTCTATTGATAAATATCATCATTATTATTATTATTATTCTATCCAATTAAACCTGGATGTGTGATCGTAAGAAAGAAAAAAACTGATAAAATCGTTATTTCGTGTCACAAACAACCTGAGAACTCAGTCATTAGTAAAAAAAAAAAAAAGTTAATTATTTAGTAAATTTTCTCATATATTTATTTACATAATATGCCGCGCACGAAGGTACCTTTATATTTAATATTAGTATTTACTATAGTAATTGTTATTTCATTGAAAAAAGTTTTATTGATTTATTTTAGTTTTTTAGTCTCGCAAATAAAATAACAGTAAAATTAAAATGATTCATTCGAGATAATCGAATTTTTCTATTTTTTCTAAGAATTTTCTATGTTTAAAACTAAATTTTTAGTTGGTGTCTCTTAAGAGATGACTAAACGGTAATACAACAACTTTTTTTTTTTTTTTATTTTATTTTAATGACGTGAGTAAAGACTATCAAAAAAAAAAAAAAAAAAAAAAAAAAAAAAAAGTGAAAAACTATTTTATTCCATAAAAAGAAAAAATTTCTCAGAACGTTGGCGGCGCGGATTTCATCAATTTTATAATTTTTTTTTTTTAAAAAAATGTAATTCATAAAAATTCTAAGAAAAAAAGATTTTAAAAAAAAAAAAAAAAATGTGTTTGAAAATTTGTTTAAATGTGCGAAAAAACAGTTGAGGATCCATACGAAATAATACGCACACGCACATTTGTAAAAGAGAGAAGAGAGAGAGAGATGAAACTGTTTCCGGTTTCGGAACAACTTTTCTGACTCACTGAGTTGTTTTTAATATTTAAAAACGTGAATCATTCGATTAAAAGACCGTTAAAATTGTTTTTTTTTTTGAGAGAGAAAAAATTCAAAAAATGAAATTATTTAATACAAAAATTATACGTATATATTTATAATCCGGTGATTGATTTATTATTTACAAACAATCTCCTGCCACGACGATATTCGTTATCGATAATATTTTATAATCGTTATTTAAATAAAATAATAAAAGAGACTTACCAGAATAAAGCATGCTTGACCACGTTAAACACAAAATACATGTTCATCCTAAATAAAATTCCAATCCCACTTTTTTCTTTTTTTTTTTTTTTGTTTAAAAATATTTAAATAAAATAAATAAATAAAAAATTTTTTTGTTACGCGGTATTAACAATACATTTTTTTAAATAAATAATAATAATATTATTAAAATTTTATTAACCTTTTAGTAGGAGGATTTTGTGTACCGTCACTAATCACCATATTTAAGAAACTGCGAGAAAAACAAACTTAATAAACTAATATTTCTTTTTTTCTTTAACCCTTCCCCCTCCCTCTCCTCCTGTATTTTTTCTCCTCTTTTTTTTTTTTTTTAAGGGCTTTCTCCTTCTTCCGTTTCTCCCTTCCAAAAATTTTGTGTGTGTGTGTGTATGAGATGAATAATTGCAATTCAATGTTTTTTTAAGGAAAATTTTAATTCATTGATTTTTTTTTTTGGTTTTGTAAGAGGTGTCATCATCGTGATGTCATCGATATGACGAATAAAATGAATGATGACGTTTTTTTTTGGGGGGAGACATTAATAAAAAAAGTAAAGAGAGAGAGAAAAAAAAATTAAAAGATTTTTAACTTACCCAAAAAATTTGAACACGTAAAATAACATAAAAAAGCACCAGACAAAGATTTAAAAAAAAAAAAAATGAAGCTTTTTCCCCTACCCTCCCCTCCACCCTCTACCCTTAAACAAAACAATAATAATAATAATAATTTTCTCACATTTATTTATAATTTTTAAATTATTATTAATTTTCATTTTATTTTTTATTGAATTTTCCATATTAAAAAAAAAAAAAAATTTTTTTTATCACTTCGTTCAATTAAACGTTTAAAATTTTCTTTTTTTTAAGAATTCATTTTCTTTTTATACTATTTTACTATTTAATTTTATTTCATACATTGGTTATCTGAATGAAATATTTACGTCATCACTTAGTTTGAGAGGTTCGGTGACATAATAATAATAATTTTTTTTACGTCATAGGCATACTCATCATCAATGACTTCACTGTTTGATCTTGTCTTTAATATTTATCTTTTTTAATTATTTTTACTTAGAATATCTTTGGTTTTTTTTAAAAAAATATTTTCACTTTTAATTTAACTAAAAAAAAAAAAAAAGAAACAAACAACAACAACAACCAATATTTAATTAATTATTTGTTTCATATGAATCCTTCGTAAAATAGACAAAAAATTATTTTTGTTTGTTTGTCGCTTTTTTTTTTTTTTATTTTTAATTGGTTTATATATTAAATAACCGTGAAAATAAAAATCACGCAAACTTTATTATTTTAAACGTTTATAATTATTATTTTTTTTTTTTAAATAATAATAATGATAAAATTTACAAAATAATAATAATAATAATTTTTAATTTAAGGTAATGATTCAATATTTTATTTTTGAAAAAAACTAAAATATTCCTTATTTAAAAAAATAATTAACTAATTCATCATTAAAATAAAAAAAAAAAAGTACCTAATAGATATCTATTAAAGCAATTAAATCAATTTACAAATCCGGCGTTGAAAAAAAAAAAAAAAACAATTTTTTTTTTTACTTGTTTTTGTGTGTGTGTGTGTGTGTGCGTGTGCGTGTCATTACTGACCTCCCAAATCGTATTATTTATAAAAATTTAATAAATGACGTAAAAATCAAATTTAAAATAATAATAATAATAATAATATATTTTAAATTAAATAAAACTTTTTTATTTTTCTATAAAATGATATGATATAAATTATAAAAATCAGACATTACATTTAAGGGTGGGTAATAATTTAAAGGGAAGGTAACGAAAAAAAAAAAAAAAAATTATTTTTTCCTTTCCTTTGTTTTTGCTAAAACAAGTATTCAAACAGTTATTTATATATGAATAATTATAATAACAATTATTATTATTATTAATATTAAAACATTTTTTTTTTTTTTTGACTTCAATACTCGAGTTGAAAGACGACAATATTATTATTATTTTATTCTACACAAGTGCAAATATTTATGCACCCTTTAATTACGGTATACATCAAATTCAACTAATAATTCTACTAAATTTTTAACATAGAGATAGATAGATAGATATATCGAATATACGCGCATGCAAATATTAAATTTAATTGTGTGTGTGTGTGTGTGGGGGTGTGTGCATTCGTAAAAATGAAGAAGAAGAAGAGGGGGAGGTAGAGGAGGAGGGGGAGGAGGCAGGCAGGTATGTATTTCACCGCATAATAATAATAATAAATATATAAATTTTTTTTTTTTTTTTTTTACGAAGGATCCTGCGCAAATAGCGCCACCGGGAATGTTTTTATATGAGTTTGCCATTGTGCAGAAAGTTGAAAAAATTTGACTCCAGTCCATTCGACTCCATCAATGCTCACTACGAGTCAATTTTAAAATCGTTAAAATAAATATAAAAAAAAAAATTAATTAATTATATTATCATTATCATTTTTACCTTTTAAAGGCAATGCTTGAGTTTTAGGAGAACAAATAAGTCTCGTAACTCCTTCTATTTGCTGATTTTTATTTTCCGTTTCTCTTTCTTTTTCTTTTTTCTTTCCTAGTCTCATAACTATAAAAAAAAAAAAAATATATATATTATTAAAAGTGTGTAAGTTCATCCATATCGTGGTCTTTTTCGAAAACTTTTCTTAACAATTTACTTTTTTGTTTCTTTTCTTTGGTAATGTAATTCATAAGTAAATAAGAGCCGGGCTGTTCGCCAGGCGATGGAATTCTTTGGATTTGCACAGCTTTGAAATTCGTTTTTAATGTGGATTTATTGGGATCTTTTCCCTTTCCTACTTCTTTTGCCTCTGAAGATTTATTTGAAGTCCAATAGTCTATTTGTAATTCTAGAGGTTCGACTAAATTCGATTCCCTGTAAATAAACAATAAGTAAATTAAAAAAAAAAAAAATTACAATAACCAGGATTATCATTATTAATTACCTCGAGTGATTGGTAATGTGCATTGAATTTACATTTGGCGAAGAAGGTGGTGTGATTTTCGGGGGTGAACTTCCACAAGTTGCTTGCATGTCATCCAAATCAACCGAAGCTCCCGAAGCACTATCCATTGATCCTAGTCTAACATCGTTGACAAAAGGTACGAATATTTGAGATGACTCATCGTCGGAACTTTAAAAATGCATAAAAACATGGAGTGATATAATAATTACATGTAAAAAAAAAAAAAAATAATGATAAAAATTAAAAACCTTTTTTCTTTATACGTCAACATTGCTTCAGCGACGGGAAGGAAAATTGTTGACGTTCCATTATTCATGTACAATCCTATTTTATTGACGACTTCATTAATTTCACGTTCCGACAAATCCCGCCATTTTTCTCCCGCAAAATACGCTCCATATGTACTATCTACACTTGCAAGATATCTAGATATAGAACTTGAACCTGAAAAAAAAACAATTATAGTTTTAAACAAATAGATTTTATTGGTATTAATTGATTTATTATTAATATCAAGAGATGATGATGATGATAATGATCACGCCAATGATCATTGATTTGCATTGGTTTATAATTTAAAAAATTTTTTTTTCTCATCTGACACATACCTAATGGTACGATGAGAAATTTAATAAAACCTTGCCATTCGGGAGGTTTTTGAGATAACTGATCGACATATTGTCTAAGTATATTATTAATAAATGCATCACTTCCGACAACCATTAATTTAATCGTATTAGGTGGCTTGGCACTTGAATGACAACTGAAAAATATAATAATAATAATAACCCGTTATTTCATATCGAAAACTATTTTAAATAAATACTACAAACAAACAAACTAACAATTTTTGTATTTTGTTGACTAGATAAGTAAGGGTAAGTCGAATTTCAGATGTAGATACGACAGGAAGAACTTTTAATTGTCTTTCCTGTAATCTACTGGCAAGAAGAGATCCTTGAGGATCATTTGAAGAAATTATGAGCAAATGATCTGGCAAAGAATCGTCCGATCCGAGAATTTTCGTTATTTGTTCAACGACGAATTTTTTTGGCTAATAAAAAAAATTTAAAAATTAATTTTTTCCTTTTTTTTTTTAATGGATTCGATACAAAAAAAAAAAAAAAAAAAAAAAGAAAATTTTTTGTACCTCTCCGGCAGGTTCGAGTATGAGAGTCGGAGCGGTGAGAGTTCGATGCTCGCTTAATGATTTTTTAGGTTTTCCAAAAGGTCTATCTCTGTGAAACAGTCTAGGTTTTCTCTCTGATTCTTTGTCTTTTAAAGGAGAAGTAGACTGAGGATCGCTTGCATCTTGATCAGTCCATATTTCCGGATGGGAATCAGAATCTCCCCTACCGCCCTTTGAACTCTCATCGCTTAAACGATCTTGAACTTTATCTGTAGAATAAATTATTATTATTATTATAATTATTTTATAAAAATAAAATAAAATCAAAGTATCAGAGACTATGAAAAAGAAAAAAAGAAAGATGTTAGTTATTTTAATAATAATAATAATAGAAAATAATAAAAAAAAAAGAAAAATTAATACCCATTTTAACAATCACCATCCGATATACTTATTATTTTAAAATTTTTTAATACCTTTTTAATAGTAGATTTTTTTTATAATATAAAAATATAATAATAACCACATGGCATTGTTATTAAAATAAATTATAAAAGAAATACAATTTTTCCCATTGACAAATTTTTAATAAAATAAAAAAAATGAATATGAAAAGGGTAAAAAAAAAAAAAAAAAAAAAAAAAAAAAAAACTAAGAAGTTAAAATTTACGTTATCCACATTCGAACATGCATAAAAAATGAATAAGAATAAATTTTTTTTTATCCAGCACAGTATTGAAAAGAATTGAGAGGAAGTAAAAATGTTATACAATATAGTTTAACAAATGAATAATAATTTTCGATACCTGTGCCATTGATTTCCGACTTCAACAAAACGATGTCTCCACGAGCACCTGTTTTAGAAACATCGTTAATAATATATATATATATTTAAATATATAAATAAATAAATAAAAATTGTAATTTTTTTTTTTTTTAATTTTGTCAAATCAATTTATGTATGTATATAAATAAAATACAATTTATAAGGTACAAAATCAATCCGAATATGATAAAAAAAGAAAGAAAAAATAAATTAAATTATTACTCGTCACAAATTATTTAAAATTAAAATCACTCACGCAAATCTCATATTAAATAAAAAAAAATTTATAAATAAATAAATATGTATATAAATATGCACATATTATTTTCATTTATGTGATTCAAATATTAACAAAGTTTTATTATTAAAAAAAAAAAAAAATATTTATATATGTATATATGCCTTACTTGTTATAAATTCAACGAATGAAAAAAAAAATTAAAATTTTTTCTCTCTCTCTCTCTCTCTTTCTTTTTCTTTTTCTTTTTTTAGAAAACAGTTTTTTTTTTCAATTTGTCAAAATATTTTAACATTTATTAAATTGTTTGTCTTAACGTTTAATGACGTTAGAATGAGACCATCATTGCCAAAATATTTACATTATCTTACCACATTTTATTAGCATTGTATAATAATAATAATAATAATATGGCTTTTACGGATAATTAATTTAATTTATTATTATTTCACACTTAATAATACTAATTAGTTTTTTTGTAATGGGTACGTACGACTTAAGAATCAACGTACTACTAAACAAAAAAAAAAAAAAAAAGAAAGAAAATTTAATTACAAACCTGTTGAATTGAAATTATCGTGTAATAAAGATCTACTAGATGAGAAAAAAGGTCTTAGACTAGGTTTTGGAGTTGAGGATATGCTCATAGTGTCCATTTCCGGACCTGATTCTGATAAGTCTTCTAACTCTTCGAAAAAGTCTTCTATTTCGGTAGGATCGACATCGCCTCCAGAGAGTTTTCTATCCATATCTTCTTGATCTGGTCCAAGACCCTCATTTTGGCGAAATCTTTTTAATAAAGCTATGAATTTTTGTTTAAAATTACGTTGCTGCAAATAAATAAAAAAAAAAAAAAAACAATTTTTATTAATATCAAATATATTTTAAAAATTTTGAACTACTTGAAATAACTAACTAAAAAAAAAATAAATAAGGCTTATCAAATTAATTATTTAATAATAATATAATAAACTTGTGAAAATTTTTCAAGTTGAAAAGAAAAGTTTTTTTTTAAAAACTCATTGAAAAAAAATAAATATAAATGATAATTAAAATTTAAATGAAAATCTTAAACTTTTAATTATTCTTTTTTTATTTAACAAATTTAAAAAATTGAATTTTTATTTTGTTTAAAATGCAATAATTATTAACAAATCATTTTTAAAAAAAAATATTTAAGCGTACACAAATAGTAAAAAAAGCAGAAAGCTTATAAAAGGATTAATAAGGAAATTATTTTGCGGTAAATGCAAATAAAAGATCCCATTCGCTAATTTTTTTCCTTTTATATAAAAAAAAAAAAAACCATAACAAACATAACAACCAGGCATGTAATATTTGCATAAATGCAATTATTTAATTATACATAAACATAATTAATTAATTGATAATCGGAATATGCAATATAGAGTGCAAACTGACCTCCTCATGCTCCATTTAAATAAAAAATCATTATTACCACATTAAATATATTAAAATTTTTTTTTTTTTTTTTATTATACGAATATAAAAAAAAAATATTGCCAATAAAATTTTTTGGCATAAATTATTTTTACACACATTATGACGTCATTGTAAAAACAAATCATGTGAAAAAAATTTTTTTCCGTTAAGTTTAAAAATAAAAAAACAATTATTTAAATATGTTTAAGAATTTTTTTAAATAATAAATTACTCGATTTATTTTTTACGTACGAATTTATCACCCGCATAAAACGAACCTTAATAACATAAAATTATATATGTGTAAAAAAAAATAATAATAATAAATAATTCACTGCCGGCGAAAATTATTGATTTATCATTAGTATATTCGTTTTCCCTTTCCGGAAATTTTTTACGTTTACATTTAAATTAACGGTCGTTTGGGAAAATTCAATCAACTAATAAAATTTGTCATTTAATTTTCCACGCTACTTTTTTTTTTTTTTAAATCTCTTTGCCAAAATTCATTTAACAACAAGACCTTCTCAATTGTTTATACACCAAAATTTCAATTTTTTTTTATTGATCGTGGCACGTTCGGGAAAAATTTTTCATAAAAACAAAAATTAATCCAAAATTTAACTAAAACCTTTTTTTTGGGTTTTGTTTTGGTGTGAGATAAATTTTTATAATTTTATACACAAACACTAAACGATTTCTTACTTGCATTACACAAAACGAGTACCTACTATCAATAAATGATAATAATAAAAAATACTTATTAAAAATTTCCTTTTTCAAAAAATTTGGAGTCAATTTTCATTGACAATAATTTATTTTACTTCATTTTTCACAATTCAATTCAAAAAAAAAAAAAAAAAAATCACTCACACTATTAGGTTTAAATAATTTTTTATTTATTTATTTTGTACATTTAACCCATTATTGTTATAAAATTAAATAACCCATAAGTTATTTACTTATTATTTCTTACCTTACTCCATGTTTTCTCTTCCAGCCACGTTTCCATTAATCCAGACACTTCAAAAGATTTAATAAAATTCCATATTTCCTGGTTTTTATAGTTTAATCCTGTCATGTCCCAAAATCCTACTCCAGCTACTTTTTTTTCACTTTCTTTTTTAGATTTTTTTTCACTTCTTTTATTTAGCTTCGATTTCTATAATATAAAATACTTTTTTTTTCTAAAACGGTTTTAATTAACTGTGCCTAACTCTTTTAAGGTACTGACTCTCAAGTTGGAAAAAAAATTTTTTTTTTTTTTTTTCCCGTTCATTTCAAATTATTTACGTAATCCATCGGGGGATTTTTTTTTTTTTTTACTCAAATTTACACTTTCGTAAACAAGAAAAATATATATATATATACGATACTTTTTTAAAATATTTTCATTCAGACTTTTCATTTCATGATCATCATTTTTTTGAATATATACGACTAAACTTTTTAAAAAAGTAAAAAAATTAATTTTAACGAGGAGGTTAATAATTAATCGATCAAAACCGTCCTTAATAAATAATTCTTTTTATCATTTTTTTTTTTTATTAATAAATTTCGCTCATATACTTTTCCTTTTCCTTTTTTTTGAAATTTAAATAATTCAATATATAAATATTAATAATAAAAAAAATTTTCTTTTTTCTTTTTCTCGCGTAACCGATTCAAAGTATTTTAAACAACTGACAAACCGGTCTTTAATAAACCACAAAAAAAAAAAAAAAAAAAACTATTAATATTTATAAATAAAAAACTTTTTCATCATCATTTATTTATCAAAAAAAAAAAAAAAAAAATTCTATTGGGGGCAAAAAGCCAAAGCGCCACGCAAATAAAAAAAATCTTTTATTTTGGATATAATTTTTTTGTTAAATTTACTATATGATAAAGAACAATAAATAATTGCATCGTATCCAAGATGAAATAAAATTTTTAAAAAATGTTTTAAATATTTAAATATGTGCTCAATTTTCCATTATGATAAATATATATATATCATTTAGTAAATATATAATTTTGCCAATTGTTTTTTTTTTTTTTTTTTGGCATTGGAATAAAGATAACGAAGGTTGCTTTGATGCTTTCTTTCCTTGTAAATTTTTAAAAAAAATTTCATTTCACATTGAATATTATAAATAAATTTAAAAACAGTTGAAAATCACGTCAGTCAAATAAAGCTTAATTATTAAAAATAAAGAAATAATTAATTTACCCAAAAATCAGTCACTGAATCACTCACTAAATCAGTCAGTCAGTCAGTCAAAATGAAAAATAAAAAAAAACATAATAATATTCATTTTTTTAAATTTCCCTAAATATGATTGATTTTTTTTTCTCATTAGTAAAAAAAAAAAAACGTAACTAAAAAAACAATTATTCATTTTAACAATTAAAAAAAAAATTATTTTTAATGATTCTTACTTTTTTTTTTTGTTTTTAGAATTTTATAAATTTAATTTATTTCCTAAAAGAAATTTAAAATATAATTCCTATAATTTTCATTTTCATTTTCCATCACAACTAATAATATTTTACACGACGATTCAATAATTATTAAAAAAAAAAAATTTTAATTATTAATTTTTCATTTGACGATTACTCGACTATATTTTTTCATTTGGCAATATTATTTGAAATAAGCAATTATGCCCGATAATAATAATAATAAATATTTATCCCGATTTTTTATGAATGATACAAATTTTTTTTTTTGTTGCAAAAACCATCACCTAACATTTAATAAAAGGGGTTAATTAAAAAAAAAATTTTTGCGGAATCTTTTATGAAAGCTTTATGGGGGGTGCTAAACGACCAATAAATGAATGTGTGTAAATAATAAATTACCTAAAAAGCATGCAAATAAACAAATAAAAAAAAAAAAAAAAAAAAACGTGCATCGAATAAATTTCAAGTTAAGGGTTTTTAGGATAAAAAAAAAATATAAAAAATTTTTTTACATACTCTAGCGTTTGTCTGCATTTTAACCCTTTGCGTTTTTCTCACTCTTCTTCCAGATTCGTCCAACATTGGTTCCGAATCGCTACCCTCAACTTCTCCCTCTCCTTCATCTTGACTACTCGCAAATTCTTCATCTTCATCGGAATAATCAACTCCGCGATCCGAAGGATCTCCAAACATGTGCTTTTGATCAACGGGTTGACTACAGAGAGAATTAACCGTTATTCTGGCAGCTAAACCTCCTCCTTTCCCTTCTTTTCCTTCGCAAAGTAAATCTAATTCTAAATCCATTTGCTTT